GACTCAGTTAAAAATTGTGAACTGTTAGCCTCTGATTAACTTCTTGGAACCTGTTACTATAAAACCGTTACTCAAATCGCAGATTAACGTGCATGTGTTGTAAGCACTGGCAGATCCACCGGGAGGGAGACTTTCAGGATACGGTTTCCTCCATCTATTTTAAAAAATAATCACATATCTTAACCACAAACGGGTACTGGGTTGGTAATAAAAATAAAATATGACTATACAATAAAAATAAAAAAAAAATCCTGAGTTTTTGCAATAAGTCATTAATTAACGGTTCATAAAATTATATCTCTAAGTACTTTGATGCATATTTTCCGTGTGCACTTAGTGTAACTCATTTTTTACTTTCAGTTTCAATGAAAAGTATTGGGATTTTGAAAAAATTCGGAATAGAGTTTTCAATGGAAACACATATTTGAAGTGTGTCTATATGTGAACAGTGTAGCTCAAAAACAAAAAATTGTATGAAACTGAAATTGTGTATTTAAAATTTTAAACTTTGTTTTTAAAATTAAAATTAAATTTTGTTTTAAAAATTTAAACGACAGCAAGGAAATTCTCTAATTATTGATAACATAATAGAAATAGAAATAGAAAAATAACAAAGAAAAAAATCTCATGTAAACTAACAAATTATAGAAAACCAAACTAATGAAACTATATACAAAATACTTTGAACTATATACAATGCCAATAACAAATGAAACAAAATAATCTTTGATTTGCTAAACAAATAAATAAAGAAAAAAATAAAGAAGAAAGCGCGTTAATAATATGTTGAAATCGCGTTCATCTTTTTAATTATTTAAATTTAAAACAAAGAGTGATAAGGCAACAACTAACTATCTCATATTTTTTTGAAATTATTTGTTGGGTTTTTTTGTTGCCTTAACCCTGCAGAATCATTCTCAACACGTTTTACTTAAACTCTGTTATACGATTCGACTATTTTAACACATGTTCGTCCGATGATTTTTTTTTTTTATAACGCCATTAACAAAATGCCAGCAACAACTCTAATCTCTGTTTGGTAAAAATTAGAATTTAATTTATTTAAAATTAAAAGTAGAAGAATCAATTAGATAGGTAATATATTTATTAGCTTAAATATAATGTAGCCATTGAAATCTGGCTCAATTAGTTTAACAAGAACCAATTATTTTCTGTAATATACAAATGAAGAATTTTCGTGATGCAGATGCATATGTGTAAAGAATTCAAGATTTTCTTCGCCTGATAAACAATTAAATAATTAATTGGGTGATAAATAGTCAGGACGTAGTGATTTTAAAGGTTTTTTATTGGTGCCGAAGTTTTCAGATAATGGTTAATAACGAAAAAAAAAAGAAAATGAACCATTATTTCTCCTATAATATTATACCTCTGATTGTATTAAACAATTTTCAGTCCTGACGATGACGTTCATACTTGGGTCGAAACGTCGGCACCAATAAAAAGTCTTTAAAATGACTATGTCCTGACTTTTTATCATTCGTGATATGTAGAACAGACTAACTTTCCCCAATAATTAATTAATTATTGTAAATAAAATTTAAATATATATTTCGTTTTTAATTAGTTTTGTTCTTAATTATATATTTTTAATAGTGTTTTGGAATCCGAATTTTTTGCACAGGTGGTTTTAATTAATTTATTCAGTCGGTATTAATTATTATACAGTAGCTAAAAACATATGATTTATTAATTTTTTTTATATATTGAAATTAATAAAGAATAATATGTTATAAAAAGTAAATTATGTTAATTCTGGGCGACTTTAAGACAGATAAAATGAACTGGGCGTTCCAGAGTGGCTGGGAGAGGCCAAAGGTATCTGTGCCGGCCTTGGGCTCTGCGTCATAGGTCACCGGTGCGCACCTGACTGCGCAGCCAGCTCACCTGCCAGGTAGCCTGCGAGGCGTGGGCTAATTAGCTACACCCATCCAGGTAGGATCCAGGGCTGACATTCGCAAGACTGACAAGACTCACTTCAATCACGGTGGACTTTGCACGTATCAGTCAGACTGACTTCGTTTTAGCTCTGTTGACGTTGAGACTCATGTAGTGTGGTCCTGGCACATTGTGTATGGAAAAAGCTGTTTGGCAATTATCCTTTAAAGCATTTGACATCAAGAAAAAAGTTGAGCTACAATAAATACAAAAATTACTTCTTAATGACGGAAAAACCGTAATCGTTTTGACATTGTGTTAATAAGATAGACAAATACAAGCTCAAATATTGCTATATATATAGAGAGAGAAAATATTGCTTAAATAAGAAATATGTTGGGAAAAAGAACTAACGAAAATCATATACAACAGTTTTTCTATAGATATAATTGTCTTCAATTTTTTAAAATTGATTTCCCATGTATTTAAAAAATATTATTTGAAGATATTAAGATATGAACTGCATGTCGTAGGAATAAGAAAACATTTATTTTATATAAAACTAAGGAATATATATTGATTGTCAGACCAGATAAACTAATAGTCTGAGAGCGGGTGCAAGAAAATTTTGAAAAAAAAATTTTAAAAATATTTATAACATTTATACTAAAAAAAAAAATTCTGGCAGTCGGATTATTTTACATGCTATTTGTAAAAGTGATGACCGATTTAAGGAAATTAGACCCGCAATTTGAGGATCGAAATGGGAAATTTATTGCGAAAAATATGGGAAAGATTTTATTTTTTAAAACTTGTATTTATGGGTTTAAATCTGTAAAAAACAAAATTTGATAACGCGGGTCACCATGAGAAAACTTTTGACAGCAAAAAAAGCCCGCTTTTTTCGATAGTTTTTGCGAATCGAAAAACGCACTCATTAAGAAATTAAAGAATACTAAATTTTGCGTCGAACGAGTACTTAAACTTAATAATTGGTTAGGTGGTATGCAAAATTTTACCAATTTTTGTCTAAAACTGAGACGGATCACTACAAATGTCCCCGTTGCTTGAAAAAGAGTTGTTCTATAAGATAAAAAAACTCGAAGAATGAAAGTTGTAGAGCATTAAACTTCGCGTCCACTGAGAACTAACAGTTTTGCTTCGCTCGAAATTAGTAATACTATCGGCTCTCGTTCTAGAACCTAACCAAGCATTCAAGTTAGTCTCTTCCCCACTTCTCGTAATTAAAGCTTTGATTTCAGGATTTCCGAAAATCCACCAGATAACATCAGTAAATCAATCTTTACCACCCAATCAATCGGAATGTCATTCGACCCGCTTAACACTGAAAACAACCCGATAGCAGCTCGAAATAATAAGGTCTCGCCTAGGGAGGAGTGGGAGAGAAATCTCTTGCAGAGACAGTCCTTGGAAGGCCAACGGGTCCTGATCATTGCAGAGCGGTCCTGATTTATTTAAAGGGATCGGATGTGGTCAGCTTCTGTACAGCCTTCATTACCATAACCTTAACACGCATTTCGGCCTTAGCATTCGTCCAATATAGGGATTCAACTGTTTGTCACATAGAGAAAAGCCTACTAGACATTTTCTAAATAAGACTGTAAGGGGAAGAAATGTTAATTGAAAAAAATAGGTAATAAAAAAGTATGCATAATCCTTAGTTATAAAGGGAAATAATTATACTACATTCTTAGTAATTAATGAGCCCAACAAATTATTTTTAAAAAATATCTTCGGCGACTTATGCAGTGAAATTACAAGTAGAATTGACTGCAAGGAAAGCAAAAAAAAATATTGTTAATCAGAAATATAGATACAAAAGTTCGTAAATAAAATCATTATAAAAATATCGATTATCTTTGTGACTATCTGCATTTTACTTTGTTGATTATTATACTATAGCTAGACCAAATTAAATGGGACTGGGGTAGCCGTGTGAGCTAAGCCGCTTGCCATAGGTAACCAATTTAAGTAACGCCGAGCACTTGGATAGGTGACCGTCCTCTAGGAAAAGCCACGCTGCCCTAATTCTAATCTAAATATCTCCGACATATCACTCGTTGTCCCTTCTACGAAACCAATAAATCGCTTCATAAAGATCTAAAAATACCACGTGTGACTGACGTAATTAAAAATGTTTACAAAAATTTTCACGACTCACTTATATAAAAATTATTGGACATCCGAATACCCTTACTACATTACTTACAGACACACTACCACAGCATCCAATAAGGAGACTCAAACGCCTCTGGAGCTGGAATCTGTAGGAGTGCCTTAGCTGGGAGGTTTCTCCAAAGCATACGTGTTAATCCTGCAGAGAAAGACCAATGATGATCACATTTACAATATATGCCTCAAGGCTTTTGTAAATTTTTTCAATAAAGTAATTTATATTATTATTATTATTAATTGAAATAAAAGGACTTTCTTAATTGATTAGATTCCGTATTTAATAAATACTGACTATATACTAACATTCGACAGACTTTTTATTTTGATGATTAAGTTACAAGTTGAAAATAGCTCAAACATTAACGAAATATTGTGGCGATCAACTGGTGTGGCAAATATTGTGGCATTGCCTAAAAATACAATTTTACATGAAAATTAGGTTTTCAAATTTTTTAAAAATTTTATGAGATTATCTAAGTCCGAAGTTACATCTTTAGTAGTTAAAAATGGCCATACTATAAAACCAGCAGGTGGAGGAAATAATATAATGTAACTGTATAGTTCTTGACTGTTATTTGATTGGATTTTTTATGGCTTGGAATCTTCTAATATCAACTTTATTTATATTTTTCCCATTTTTTTTTGTTGTTTTTTTCTATCATTATTTATTTGAGTTAAAAAAATTAGCATGTTCAAGCGATTGAGAGAAATATAACAGTGTTTATTTTAAACATAACATTCTACAAATCCTCATGACATATCTAGATGAGCGTTTATCAAATCTAGGAAATTCACAAAACGGGAAAGCTATAATTTGTCCAGAAGGTTAAGCCCATGTTGAACCAATCTGATCAGAACAGACTATGAGATTTACAGCTCAACAGCAGCGGCCTTGTCCCGATCAGATGTCGCGCCCGCGGTTCGCTGTTGAACATTGGACGATCGGTAAGGATCAGTTCATTACGAGCGGCAATCTGTTGCCTTGTCCGACACGGGTTGTACGCCCACGTCGTTAATTACGTCAAGTCATCGCCGCATTAGCGAAACAATTGCTTTGGGATTGGCAGGCATGCGTCAGGAAATCGCAGGAGGTGTCTTGATTAGTAAGGCGGCGTTTAAATATACAAGTGCCAATCAATTGGATAAGTGCCGTCAGTACCAATTAATTACTCTTATTCAATACAGAGAGCTGTGAGGGTCGGTAAAACATACGGTATCCGCATATCGTAATAATGGGGTCCACAAGAAGACATACAATGCATGAACACTATACTGGTTTGTTTTTAAACTTATTGGAAAACTTTCAAATCTATAACCAAAGCAACATGTTACGTCACCCTCACGTTATTTTACATAAAAACCTTCACATGCCGTAATGATCGTATTGTAAAGGAACACTTACGGACACAAAAGATTTTACGATAACTTATTCTACAATAACACATTCATGCATGGCTTGGCTACTGCTAACCTTAGAAGGCTGTAAAGAAGCTGGATAGGAGATCTCCCTTGAAAATAAATACTAAAATAGGAACTGATACTACTGGATATTTCCAATCAATGTAATATTATTCTATTTCTCGATAGCATACATACTAGTAACATACATATTCCTGACAGCTATGCGTGAATATGTGAAGTATATAAGTTATTCCGTAAACATCGGGAAATATTTAAAAAGGTAATAGGAGAACTCAAGAGCTTCAAAGAGGTTATATGAACCATAGTTTGAATTTCAACAGAAAAGCAAGAAATTTAAAGTTTGTGTTTTTTAAGTAAGTTGCGTGAATATATGGTTAAACAAATCTTTTTGCTCAGCTCCTTTAAAGTATATTAAAATGATTAAAGCAAAATTTTAAGCGGCTAAGAAACATTAAGTTTTGTTTTTCATTAACTCAAGCATTATTCGAGATTTTTTTATATAAGCCTCCAACTATACTACAGATATCCCACTATTAAAAAAAAATCTTTAAATCCATTTACATATATATTAAATTTAGTGACATAAATGAAACCATAACCAAGCCAAAAAGCTTCAGGCACAATAGTTTAAATAAAGCAAAAGTATAAATATATAAGTAAAATTAAAGTAAAAGAGCATAAATTGAATTGAGCATAAAACAGCAAAAAAAAAAGTTTCAACTCATTCATTTTCTAGTATAATATATTATATGAGTCGTTTAGAATAAAAACACGTTATGTATATTTTTATATACTCTTCTGCCAAATCGAATCAGTTATAAATAATAGGCCTTTAATAGTAAATAATAGTTTAATTATGTACGGTTAAATTTCTAGACAGTATATAATCCTTGAAATACTGCTGTTTTTTGGTGTGAACCGTACTTTTCCCATGTTTAAAAGGATTTGTAAAGAATTATAATGCACAAAAAAAATTGAAAATTGTAGATCTTATTTATTTTTTTTTATATTGATGTTTAAATGGAAATAAATGTCATTAAACGTAGTGATTGCCACAAAGGACAAGCCCAAATAAAAAATATACCTCATTCGACTCAATTCTATCGACATATATCAAAAGATAATACATAGACTGTAGAATAGGCAAATCGTTGTGAAATAGTATAATTTTATTTATTTTTAAAGTGCTTGAGTCATTTTATTGTAATTTTTAATATCCGCTTAGCCACGATGTCTAGCTTTGCTCAAAAACCAATAAGTCGTGGAATTATCGGAAGCAGATATAATCAATTTGCATAATGAGTCGATAAAAATATTGCTTTATCACCAGTTATGTAATTGTCATTATAACAACCTTAAGAGAGTATTTTCTTTACATTAAAATATACACGTGGATATTCATCAAAATAAATAAATAAAACAGTGTCATGGAGGACTAAAAAGAAATTTACTTTTCTAGATTTGTAATAATAACAAAAGAAAAAAAAAACGCTGAATAATATGTTGAATACATAACCTTAAAGCGGTAATGTAAAAGAATGATTCCTGGGTTTATTGCAGAAAGTCATTAAGTAACATTAAATTAAATTACTAATTACTTCGATGTAATTTCTCTCTGCAAGAACATTGCGCATGTAGTTTATCTATATTTGAAATGCAATAGAGTGTTAGTTGTTTTGATTCCCTTACTTTTTGCAGATGTAAATGAGGTCGAAATTCACATAAAAGGTACTTACAAGTTTAGTACCATCAAAAATATACTTAATAATTTTTCGAAATAAAACGACGACGTACCCATTTTTTTGTACAATATATATTAACTAATTATATTTTTACTAAAATATAATATTACATCACTATATACAATTAGAAATTAAATACTATTCTCGTAGCACATATGCTTAAGAATTAAAGAGGTATGTAGACCTTAGTTTAAGAACTCCTGTCCAAAAAGGTTTTATGTTTCACGTAATAAGTTTTAAATATTGAAACATAAAAAATGTGTCCTTAGATTTCGAGCTGCTACTTTTACACAACTGATATTCATATGTTAGCTATTGTTTAGTTAAGAACTACTGGAATTAAATAACAGATGAAAAAAAAAACTCGGTAAAAAGAAGATTATTTTTACTATTGGAGTATTAGTATTATGAGATGTCACAATGAATTAAAACTTAATAAATTATAACAGTAATTATTTTTTTAAATAAGGCAAATTACTTAAAATGATTGTTTTGGGAAATATTTCAGACAATTTCAACAGGGAATCACTTCTTGCGTGAATTGCTTGTAATAACCGGTTTAAAAAGTCGTCAGTCATTCTCGTGAAATTAGTACGTAATTATAGTCAAGAGAGAACAATTTACTCAGTTGTTATGCTAAATTGAGCGGGTTAATCATCAATTAAAACATTATTTCTATTTGTTTTTCTGATGATTAATCATTTGAATCAGGTAATAAATATCACAATAATTCAATTCATCTGAATGAACTAATTATTGTCATTTAAGAAGATATTAAATTACATGAAAGCACCTCCAATCAACGAGAAAAAAAATTCTGAAATTTAATTATTGACCTCTAAACAATGAGATAATTGTTTAAAAAAATGCCCACTAAATTATTAATTTTAGTCAGAATAACATGGTGAATAGTTTGATAACTATTATTATAGTGATTGTATATGTTCATTTGCTGGTAAAGTCATTCTATAATTGTGAAAGACGTATTAACATGTGTTCTTATTAGTTGTATAATTATATTTGCAGCTTAATTCTCGTCACGAATTGGTTGCGAAAAGTATTATATTGTGAAAATTTGTTTAACGAGACTTAAAATCGAAAGTTACACATTTTGTTTATATTCAGAGCCGGCCTTAGGTCTTTGGCGTCCCGAATAATGACGTCATCCCCTCCCAAAAAAAGAAATTTAATTCTTAATTTATTTTATATTAAGCAAAAACCGAATTTCATTTCATTCAATAGCTCTACATTCATTTGTTTTATTTATATGTTCAACAATATAGTATTTATACTCTAAAATGATTCATTCATATTATGTGGCATTTTTTTTTTATCCTGATCAAGTGATTGGCACCTTCTTGGGATGAGTAAGGAAAAACTCGCGAAATCGGCTAAATCTATTTTTTTTTCAATTAAACTATTGAATAAAAAAGTGAAAATGTATATTCTGCCAACTGAAAATATTCTCAGGAACTCCACGAATTATAAAAGATATCAATAAAACAGTTTATCTACTTTTTGGAGTTCTTAAAAAAAAAAAAATAATAGATTTTCCTTAACTCGGGAAATTGTGGCCCTAAGACGCCACTGCTTTTATTTTTCATTGCTCTTCTTTTTTTTTTTTTTTTTTTTTTTTTTTTTTTTTTTTTTTTTTTTTTTTTTTTTTAGAACTAGAACTAAGAGTAAAATATAAAGGTTTCATGGGACTTTTACGTACTATACACTATTTTTAAGTTCAGAAAACTTCGCCAAAAAATTTACTCTAAAAAAACAATAATTTCATCGTAAATTTTTAGCTACTTATAAAAAAATAAATATAAAAATCAGGCAAAAATCAGGCGAAAATCATTCAAAATAAATTATTTCTGTAATATGAGCCCACTTACTATTTATTTGTAGTGATTTTGTTTTAATAACATTAATAATGAAAGGTTAGACATAAATAGAACTTTATTAGAATAAAAATTCTTTAGAATTTTTTATTAAAAATAAAAATTATAACGAAACTAGCAAAATTAAACTTTTTGTTAAAAAAACAAAAACTACTATTTATAATTAACTTACAATAGTCATTTCGATAACATTTTAAGTGAATTTCATTATTTCTTTTGAAGGATTTTTATATTTTATTTAAAAGTTAAAATAAAATCTAACAAATTATTACTATCTTTGTTAGACAGGATAAAGGTTAAGGAATATAATGGACATAACATAAACACCTTCCTCCCTTAGCCTTATAATCTTATTTTCATTCCTTTCATATATCATACTGCTAAATATTCTGTTTCTTTGTTTCTTTTTTTATCTTTGATCACTCAATCAACTATCTTTTTCTAGTGAAATCACATTAAGGTTTATATAAACCACGAAATTAAAAATCAAAATAATATCCAGACGAGAACGCACATACATAAATTATTAATACAATATAAATTATATTATACTAATAAATATAAATTTAAGAAAATGAACAAAAAGATATAGATTTGAACAGAAATAAATAAATATAGTTCGAAAATAGAAAATAAAAATGATGTCATGCATGTAATATATTTTTATATTTTTCTTTTTTTTTTGTTTCAGTTGTTTTAATAGAGATGGCCTTCGGACTGACAAGATATACCCTGGTTCACAAGTCTGCGCACAATGGGTAATTTTTCATTATATAATTTTTTTTTTCTTTTTTAGAATATTTATTTCTGAACCATGTGTTGCGAACAGACATCCAACTAGCTCTCTTTTTAGACATCTTTTCATAAGAACTAGATTTTCCGGCACTTTTCTTGAGGATAATATGACGGAAGGTTGGGGGCAGAATGAGACATTAAATCCAGCGTAGTTAGGCGAGGACGTATAAGAAGCGTAGATAAGTAATATGCTACAAAGGGACATCAGTTCCGCCAGGTCCTACCGGCACCACGATAATTCCCGTTAAATTAGGATTTGGTTTGTGCTCTTACTGAGGAATTTGATGGCGATGTTTCTGTGGTCACAGTTTACTGAGTCTAAGAGCCAAATGGTTAATTATTATTACTAGAAATATAATCAGCATAAATAATTTACAAAAAAAAAAAAACACTATTTTTTACCTCAATCACTATATACGAAAATAAAAGAAATAACTATAATTTTTTTTCTTTTATTTTTACTATCTCCAAATCGAGTTTATTTAAGACTGTTGGCGTTGATACATTTATTTTTATAATCAGACTAGTGTTGCCCAAATGCGAGACCGAGACGAGTCTTGGTCTTGTAAACTTAGTCTTGGTCTTGCGTAAGAGTCTCGCAACAGTCTTGCAGTTACTTATTAGCTAATTACTATAAAGATATTACTTTAATTTTTTAGATAGGAGAAACCTAAGTAAGCCTGAATGAAAAATTAGAGGAGTTAAATGCAAAGGTATATTGGTTATACCAATTATTAACATATAATAACTAAGATTGTCAAGTATTTGTAAATATTTTGTCTTAAAAAAATCGATTTTTTTACTAGCCTGGTCTTGATCTTACAACACTTAGGCGGCCAAGACCGATTTTGGTCAACACTAAATCTGACGTCCTTTGCATTTTTTTTTAAATGTAAGAGGTTAAAAAATTAAAGAAGTTTATCACCTCAAGAGTTCCAAACAGTTATCACCTCAAAGTTCTGTCTTGACTTCCAAACAATAGCACTGAGAATGACCCACATGTTTGGGTCGAAACGTTATAAAAATATCTAGACTGAAAGTCCTGAAAAATGTTTGTTTTATCCATAAAATACTCTATATTTAAAAAAAAAATTGGTATTTTAAAATTATTATTAAACATTTTATAAAAAGTATCGTCTAGGTACCAGTCCGAACAATTCATAAAAATTCCATCATAATCTACAAACTACGGACCACTAAAATTTATTTGATAACATGGTATGATTTGTTTAATTCTTTACAAATTATAAAATGTATTAGACAAAAGGCTACTACAATTTATTTTGCATGGATTTTTTTTCTTAGTAAATTCATTTAAAAACTGCAGAGTCATTTAAAGAAGAATGTTGGAGATTTTGACAGTTGGTAAAAATCATAGTGTGCTAACCTAGATTTTCCAGCAAATCACATAACCAAATTATTAAATTGCAGTTGTATACGAAATTTAATGTTCTTAAATTATATAAAGAATGATGTTTTAGCTTGCTGGTCACGTTCAGAAGTCAAAAAATCATAATATCTTTAATATTGAGGTTTCTTGGCTGACAAAAGTTATCCTGAAGTAGGCCAGGTCAACATTTTTGGTTTACATGATTGCAGTCATTATAAGTTAAAAAATAAAAGCTCATTTTAAATTATGCAGTATGGCTGTCAATATGAAAAAAATCAATTTGATTGAATAATTCAAAACAATAAATACAAGTTTTTTTCTTATTACTACTGACATCTGAAATAATTGTCCATCAGTTCAACTATGAAGTTTCCCTTGCAATTTCTACATTCGACCCTGAACACGTTGGACATAACATCCTCAATCCTTCAGAAGATGACCCTGGAGACTTCCCAGATCCTCCGACATGGCTCCAGATCGGGGCCAGCGCCAAAATTATTCCGCCTCCGTACAGTCTTCTTCAGCATACATCTTGCTGTATGGGAGTCCTTAGACGGTTGGCCCGATGTACAGTCCTGGATGGAGGTCGTTCAAGCGGGATTTATGGGGCGATAGATGGCCCATTTTATGGCTCCAGTGACGTACATTAGAATTCATGGGTCATTAAGTCGGTTTAAGAGCTTACTGTTTACGCTGTGCTTCAGAAAATATATGTGTTGAAATATGCCCTTGTCTTTTTTAATGTTCCAATTTTAAAGAATTTTTTTTTATTCCAAATACCTAACAAAAATTCTATTTTACTTTTAATTATATAAACAACAGCGGCAATTTATAGACGACAGAAAAATTGTAAAATGGTTGTAATCTTATTCATTAAGAGAAAGCATTCTTATGTACTAATGAAGTCATTACCTCATAATAAAAATATTTATGAATGAATTCTTCTGATCTTTACTAAATCTTAACTCGATTCATCATTATTCCTCCACTTTGGAGACACACCCGTAATTACCTGACCACAATTTCAATTTGGATTTCAACAGTTTTAACTTTTCTGCTTGTTTTGTATTATTTTCTTTCGTTGTTTTTAGACAAAATTGAACTAATACAACAGAACGTCAATTGTAGATTTAAAAATATGTATTATATATAAAATATAAACATAAAACAGCAAAGGGTTGCTCCCTCCCCCCTCCTCCAGATTGAAGGTGCATGTCCCCAAGATATTTTAATGTTCTCTGCTTTCTTAAAATAAAAAAAATTAATTGATACACAATTTCACTGTTCTGGTCTGGTCCATGTTTTTGCTTTCTTCCCTGTTTTGAAAATTCCTCAAAATTGAAACTCCAGAAAAGTATGGATCTTAAAAAAAATTAAAATATTAAAAAGCCGAGCGAACTCGAAGGTTCGATGCCGAAACCAGCAGACTAGAATTCATCCTAATCCTATCCTCGTTAAAGTGTGCTCAAAAATGAACTTACCCAGAAGGGTACCCCAGATTCAATATACTATGTATACACTAATATTTACACTTCTAGCAAATACTATACTATTCAATAGAGTACATACGAACGTTAATTTAAATTACAAATTCATTTGATAATAACGAATTGTGAGATCGACTACGTCTTGTAGCGGAGCCACATGTTACTGACTGTTCAAGGTGAGGCATATTCAACTGCTGTTTTTAGTCACAGCGAAAAACAAAAAATATCCAATCAATATTCTGAACACCAGTTTACCTCTTCTTAGTCAAACCGTAAAAATAGCCAAAGGTGATTGGTTATTAGTGATGCTTGGCACCTGAATATTCTCGGCGATGTCTTGAAAACACCGAGAAAATCATACAACCTTGGAATATTTTAAAAATTTGTAACAACTTACAAGCGACATCATTTGGTTGAATATTTAATTTCGAAGATAATATAGTATTATATTGTGTATCATAACTAAAGGGGTACCCCCCGTCCGCCTAACGGCAGACCAACCCCCATTTTACTAATTATATGACTGTCATTTAATTGTAATACTCTCTGATCACATTGCATAACTGTAATTTACTTGTATTCTGTAGTTCAGATTGTATTATTTTTTTTTTCAACATTAAATAAACGGAACGAAACCACAGTGTGGGGAAGTGCCTTAGAATAAATCTCGTATCATGGTAACGCTGTAGATATAGCATGGATAAATGACAGAATATTTGTTTGTAAATAGTGTACATTTGGAATCTATAAATCCATTATCTTACCTACAGTTCTTTATAGACTTTAAACGTGGCCGCTTGCATTAGGGATGAGACCGAAGCGAAGGAGGGAAGATTGCGTTTAAGCAGATCTGGAGGGACGCGGTTTGGATGGCGAACGGAGGACGGAGGTGCGTAACAAGCGATTGGTGGCGTCGGTATCGAACCTTCTGGTTCGCTAACCCTTTTATAATTATTCTTATATAAACAGTGTACATTTTATTAGTCTGCTTTTATTGTAAATGCTGTGTATATTGTGTTGTTTTTTGTAACAATAAATTCTTAAATATGGTGTAGACTGATTCAAAGTGATTATTTTATCTTGACACCCTCTTACACACCGTTTGAACAATTTATTTATTTTATTAAAAATCTATATTATACATCGCCCCTGATTTCCAATTTATATGATTATAATTATTCTTAATGCCAATTTGTAACCGTAATAAGGAAGAAATAACTTTGTGAGTAAGAAATATCGTGTCTTCATTACGGTCCGTCCCGCTTTGTCTGTTAAAAATAAAATATGATAGTCACTGAAAACTTTCATATAATAGAGAGATAAATAAAGTTGTGACAGACTACTCTGCAAGAAGCCTATTTGTTAGGAGACGCGGAGGATCCTTGAAGAGGCGGGCGACAATGCAATGGCTCCCCGTGGCCAATGACTGACAGCTGTCCTTGTCTTCTGACCTCAGCGCCACCGTTCGACCTCTAGTTCAACATCGATTTGTCTCCCCTAATCGATATATTCGCTTCTCTTCCGGATAATCGACACCGAACAAGCCACGGCCACCACCATCGCTAACTGCAAAAATCTTTTCGCCTGCATAGTTGGTTTGCTCAGAAAAGTAAAAAGGATGTAGTTAGTTTATTCACCTAGTAGGGATATTGGAGAAATATTGTGATATCGATGTTTATATTTACGAATATGTGAAGTTGCGGCCTCCGAGTATTATTTTCCAGGCCATGTACAGGTGCAAGTCAACATCCGAGTGTCTTGAGTTTCAATCGGAGGTGGAAGTTACCATCATATTAAACGAAGTTTAAATATTTCCTTACGTCAATCTAGCAAGCAGCTTAAGAAGAAATGCAAGTACGATCCCGTAGGATGGATGATTCGGATCCCGTAGGATGGATGGATGGTGGATGGATCTATCCAAACGGTATCGTAAAGGTTTTTGTATTTAGGTATTTGCTCCACGCTTTGATATAAAAAAAATATATATATTTTTTTAACTATAATTATAATTTTAACTATAAATATATTTTCTGGCGATATACCCCCCAAAAAAGATTTGGTAGTTTATATTTCTTATAAAAATGATGAGTCATAGTTAACACAACAAACATAATTATTGTGATTAAAACTAAATATATAATACTATATATAAATATATAAATTTTTTCTCCATTTCTTCAGCCACACCTCTCATAACCAATGACAATTAGCGGGCCTGCAGTCGGCAAGATATATAAATGTTTATATACTACTTTTTTTTTTTACGCACGGATATATTTTAAAATATGTTGAAAAAGCAATTCAGTATATTATATATTTTCATTTAAAGGTTTGATGCAGTGAATGAACTTTCAATACTCCGAGGCTTTAAATGTGCTGTGAGAAATGTGAAAAAATCAAGCAAAAATGGAAGGGTGCATATGGATGAATTATAAAATACTAGGATATGTTGCTACATATTATTATCTTGGAATATAATCTAAAATTTCAATAATAGGAACATTGGGCATGGTAAAATACTTCTAGGGCTTAGCTTAAACATCTAGTCGCTTTTCCTATTTCCTTAATTGATTTATGTTTAGATATTTGATTCATTCATGTATATTAATTGTTTATTTTATTTTTGTTCTTCGAATTATTGCACATAGAATGGATCGCCTCCCTCCCCTCCCCTCCTCCCACTCTCAAATCTGCGCCTATGATGACGTGAAGGTTTAAAGTTAAAGCTAATTTAAAATTAGTTATTATTCTATTGACGATTTGAATCTCTGTCATAAAAATAAAAGTAGGCAGAAAGTTTAGTATAAAATTTAATTTTTTAAATTAGGGTGAGTGAGGTATCGGAAAAATACATTTTTTTCGGAATTTAAGTTTCCTAAAATGAGAAAAACCGTACAAAAATAAATAAAATGGTATAATAAAAAAAATATATTGTTATTCCCATTACTTCTGACAACATTACTTTATAATAACCCAACTTTTTGAGGATAAGAAGTTGGGTTCTTAGAGAACTGTCTGATTCATCCCTAATAGACTAATTTAATTTTTATTAACAAAAATGCTTGATCAAATGTAAATAATTGTCACACAAGACTAAAACGACAAGAAACTCCTCCTATATTACAATTATTAAGACACTCACTTGACAAACTGTATAAAATTTCCAATATAATACAAAGAATTCATATACCTCACTGTTATCAGATCCATTTGGATATACAGCATTGAACTTAGGGCTCTACAAAATCATTGAATTCTTTCCGTATCCAATCCCTACAATACATACGCAAAATCCTCTATGTTACTTATTTTATCACAACCAAATTATTCTGATATTCCTCAATTCTTTATTTGTTGCAAACATGGCCCGAAATAGATATTTATTTTTAAATTTTAAACTCCATGGTCTCCCAAACTCTCTAGTTCATAACTTTTAATCCAAAAAATGATAATCTGAAAAGGAGATGGCCTAGAGACCTCTTAAATTAAAATAATCATTGAAGTACTACCAATAGGTAGTCTTTCCACAAGCTAATATTGTTTTATATTCTTATAACAGGTTTACTTCTTGCGTTTTATTTATGTAGGTGGCATTTACGATACATAGATAAAACAAAAAAAAAAACTGTTAGATATAAATAAAAAGGAGGTTGATAATAATCGTATTACGATAGTAATCTATTCCTGATAACATTATCAACCTATCGGAATAAGAGAATTTGATATCATAAACGGCACGGTATGGCTGTCTAGAACTAAAAATAGTTGATATTTCTTTCCACTGAAATATATTTCAAGTATCATTCCCGGATACTACTAATATATCGATTGTCAAAGCCTCGATTTCACAAAACAAGAGAATCGATTAATGAGAGATCGCACTGACAGTAAAGTGATTCATAAGAGGCGGCTCCTTGACCGATGACGTCAATCGGGCAGGTCGCATTTCAATATTCAGTCAGCTCTATATTTCTCCTTCATTCACAAATTTTAATTTTTATATAATCCTAATGTATTCTTCTACGTTCTTAATGTATTTCGTAATGTATTTGTGATAAAGTTTTTGAAAAACGAAAGTAATTATTTATTACAATTTTTAAGTTTTGATTACATTTTCATTATATAATTACGCTTCATTCTAATAAAATCTTTTAAAAACTGAA